CTCCTTTTTTATTTCCCGATGGAAGGTGTTATGGAGGGCCTTATAATTTTTAGCTTTTCTTCGTTCTTCGTTTCTCCATTAAGATAAGGATCTCGTCTGTCATCCATCTCTTCCTGTTGATGTTTTAGTATTTTGTGTTGGTTTGAGGGTCTTTTCACTTATTCCATATATAATTTTTTGCATGCTTGTCCAATATCTGTTGCCATCATAATCCGATCTGATAGTAAGACTGATCAGGCTTGTGTGTCTCTCCTCTGAGATTGCTGTTTTGACATCGGTATCCTGTAGTTTTGTTCGATTGAAGTTTATTGTCTTCTCAGTTTTTTAAATATCTTCAGGCGGATATCTACGTCGGCAACCAAGCGATTGTGATCCAATTATGTCCGCTCTAGGGTATGTTGTGGCCCGCTTCAGCAGGCGAGGTCCAGATGTACAGTTTTCTTTTTGGCAGTTTTAACCAAGTGTTACACATCAGGACAGTGTTTGTTTGACAGAATTCGTAAAGTCCATCTCGTCTCTTATTGGCACTAAAGTCTCCTATTATGAGGTTGATCTCATTTTTCTTAAGAATTTTAAAAAGTTTTGTCAAGTCTTCATAGATCGTTTCAGTGTCTTCATGGAATTTTTTATCTGCTGTGGGCTGAATTATGTTGGTACTAAGAGCCTTAGCATTGAGCTGCAATAGAAATATTCTTTCTGAGATGAGTGTGAAGTTTTTAACACATCCGTAGTATTTCTTAGTAATAAAAACTCTAACTCCCTTTCTGTGGTGCATGTCGCTGCTCGTATGCTTTATATTCCGGTATTTGGCCATCGCACTTCGCTCACACCCATAATATCTACTTGCAGCCTTTTAGCATCTTGTATTAAATTGTCAATTTTTCCAGCCGCATAAAGGCTTCTAACGTTCTACGTTGCAATGCGTATTCTCGGTTGTTTATTATTTTTCCACCGGGGTATTCTTAGCACCCCTTGCCCACTTAAAGGGGCCCGGGTCTGCGGGACCTTCTGTGTTATTGCTTCTTCCATAGTGATACTCTAGGACAAAAGTTCCGGAGTGGTTTCCCCTTGCCTTCTCCGGTATCAGATCAGCCGATAGTCTGGATGCAGACGCTGTTTGCAGCTGCCCACTCTAGGTTAGATGCTGTGAATTCGCCAAATCTGGCTATCCTCGGTTAGTTTAGCCTGCAGGTCCATGCAGTTACCAGGGTGTGGCCAGTGCCACCTCTACAACATAACCCCTACACTCCCAAGGTTCACCACTAATGTTAAAATATTGTAGGCCTTTCATAGATAAATATTTAACATATGTTATAAACGACAGCTTGGAAAATATCGATAGGAAAGCCAATGGCAAAAATAAGTAATCCTAACCATCTCAATGATCTACGAATAATTCTACCAGCAATTTCAAAAATATTTGAAAAAGTTTTGTTTGCCCAAATGTGCGATTGTATTATAAACAATAATATCATTCCGACTGTGCAGTGCGGCTTGAGGAAACGTATGTATGATTAATCACAGTTTCCGCTCACAGTAAGTTAAAGTTTTATAGTTTCCCATCAGCATTGTGTAGTTTAATTGGATCTATCAAACAGGTTTCAAATAATATTCTCTAATAATACACATTGCTCTCTGGAGTATCACAAGGCTCCATTTTAGGACCATTGCTATTTTTGGTTTATACTGCTGACATATTGAACTCCGTTCTGTGCAGTAGGGTACAGTTAATGACACTAAATTAAAATTGGTAACTACTCCAAAGAATCTGGGAGTTGTACTGGAGACTCAGCTTCGGTCTAAAAACTTCGGCTCACTGATGCTTTATAATAACAAGCATATACTAGGCCAAAGCTTGAGAACAAACTAATGTGAGTCACTTGTCTTGTGTAACTTTAATTATTGCGATTTTGTCTACGGTTTTTGCCTGGATCATGAGAGTCCAACCCGAATACAAAGAGTTAAAAACTCAAGTCTCCGTTTTATCCATGGGATTCGAAAATTTGATCATACTTCTCACCTTTATAGCGATGTAATTTGGCTGCGAATGGATTCTCGTAGAGATCTACATTTTAGTTGTTTCTTTATTAAAATTATGAACTGCTACCGCCTCTATTCGTGAGCGATTAATATTATATATTATAACGTACATAATTTAAATATTAGAAGTACTATCAAACTTCCAATGCCTCACCATCGGACCGCCATGTTTCATCGTTCTTTTTCGTATAACGCATTGTTACGCTTCAATTCCCAAACACTATTAAAGTCTGAATGTTAAAACTTTCAAATACACATGGCGGTACGATGGTGGGGCATTGTAAGTATGTATGTGTTACTTTCATTTTATTTATTTTATATTTTGTATATACTGACCCAAAAAAGCTTAAATTTTTATTGTTATAAATTGCACGAATGCGTAATATCTGAAGTTAAATCTCTTGGTTAAACGTGTCAACGTCCGGTTCAGTAGAGTAGCTTTTAAACTAGATCGGAGTTGTGATAAATTTATTGTACGATACTCTTGATGATGATACATAAAAGGCATTTCTATTATTATTATTATTATTATTATTATTATTATTATTATTATTATTATTATTATTATTATTTTTTGTATGAGAGGTTATAAGGCGAATCTTCCTCAGCCCGTTCTGGGCGTCTCAAGACACCCTGGGGATGGATGGTGTGTCCCCTTGACGACGACGGCTTGGCAACAGCCGACCGTGTAAACCCAGTGTGAGCGTACTCACACTTCCTCTCTTGACGACAAAACAGTGTGCCCTCCATCTGGAACTGCGTCAGCATTACTTCAGATGGAGTGTTGTCCGGACGCGCGTGATGTTCTCTCGCGCCCTATGATCTTCCCTATGATCTTTCGGTCTCCTATTGACTAAGGTTCAGCGAGCTTGTATAAGATTTGGCCGTTCTATCCTCTTGGCAGAAAGTATTTGCTTTGCCATTTTGCAGACGTGGTCCCAATTTGTCGGTGACTCTAACATTTTTTCTACTAGGTTGTCTGGGCTGATGTGACCGAGTATTTGCACTGCTATATTCCGCTGCATGTTCCATCTTGGGCAGAAAAATAGAGTGTTTTCAACCGTATCCACGTTTATGCAATAAAGGCACTCCTCGGTTTCGGCCAGATTGAAACGTTTGAAGTAGGCTTCAAAGCACCCGTGCCCGGTGAGTATTTGTGTAAGAAAGAAATCTACTTCACCGTGTCGTCTCTCAAACCAGGGTCTTATATTTGGAATTAGCTTTTTACTCCATTCCGCTGTACCATCATCTATGTCCCATTCCTCTTGCCAGCATAACATCACCGTATTTTGTGCTTCCGTTTTAGCGTCTGGTCCATCTTTCTCTATACGGGCTCTGCACTTAACTAGTAGATTAATAGGTGGGATCCTAGCTATCACCATAAGTGCCTTATTGGAAGTTGTTCTGTATGCTTCGGAGACTCTTATGGCTACCCTCCTTTGAACACTACTCAGAATCATTTTATAGACTTTCTTCTCAACTGTTTGCTCCCATATTGAGGCGCCATATAGTAGTATTGAAGTCATTACTGAGCATAATATCCTCCTGGTGCTTTCACGAGGCCCATTCACTTTTGGTAGAAGGCGACTGATGTTGTTCAAGGCGTTGTTGGCCTTTTCTGTTACGGCTCTGATGTGAGCCCCCATGGACATGTTTCTATCTAGTTTTATACCTAGATATCTGACTACTTCCTGACTCTGAACTGTGGTGTTTTCCACTGTGACTGAAATGTTTTTAACTTTCCTTCCAGCAACAAGTAGGACTGCCTCCGTTTTTTGGGGGGCTAATTTCAGGTTTTTAGATTTCATCCATTCCGTGACATTGTAAAGGGCATGGTTGGCTACTGTTTCCATCATCTCGGCTTCTTTTACTTCTGCTAAGATAGCCAGATCGTCAGCATATCCGACAAGGGTAATACCATTTGGAACAGGAATTCGGAATACACCGTTGTAATACACATTCCATAGGGTTGGACCTATTACTGATCCCTGCGGGACCCCGCATGTGACGTCCATTTGCGCTGCCTCACCTATGCTTAAACGCCTATCTTCGAAGTAGCTTGCTATGATGTTATACAGATAAGGGGCTATGTTACGATTTCGAAGCTCTTCCAATATACCACACCATGGTGCCGTGTTGAAGGCATTTTCGACGTCTACCGTGACAAGAGCACATAACTTCCTCCTTCCCCACGGTGTCTGTTTTACGTCGTCTACCTTTTCTCGTATCCTTCTCAAAGCGCTGATAGTTGATCTCTTTTCCCGAAACCCATGCTGTTCTTCTGCCAGTCCGCCAGTCCTTTCAATTTCTTCCTTGAGACGTTTTACCAGCAAATGTTCCAGTAGCTTACCAGCTACATTGATTAAGCATATGGGTCTATACTTCTTATCTTGACCTGGTTTCTCTATAAGGATAAGTCGCGCCAATTTCCATATACTAGGAAATTCTCCCTTCAGCAATATTTTGTTCATGAGGTCTGTGCACTCCTCAATATAATCCTTCGCAATTGTCTTTATAATTTCAGGAGGGAGATTGTCCGGTCCAGGGGCTTTGCTATCCTTTATTTTTCTAACTGCAGTTCTTAGTTCTTCGACAGTAAACAGAGGTATGTCCCTAGGTTGAACTGTTACCTTGTTCCACTTTTGAAGTGGTCGAGTCGGAAAAAGTGACTTAGCAATTTGTAATTGCTTTTCATCTGACATATTTAATGGTGGATATTTTATTTTGTTGGTAAGAATCTTGTATCCTCTTCCCCATATGTCTTTGTCTACTTCCTCGATCACTTTCTTCCATGCAGATTTTTTTGCCTCAGAAATTGCTCTTTTGAGTTGGGCTCTATCTGTTTTATATTGATCATGGCATAATCTCTTGACTGATTCATCGCTACGTTTGTTCGCTCGGACCATCTTTCTCTTTCTTTCAATACATTTTTTCCTCGCTTCTGCCACTTCTGCTGTCCACTAGTACACCGGTCTTCTTGCGCTGCTGCGTTTCCTTACAAAGGTCTTATCGCACTCATTTGTTGCTAAGTCATTTCTGAGTTGTCTGCCTATTTCCAGAGACAGATCGGTAAGCCTTTCTTTATTTATTACCCAGCACTGTGCTGTATTGGGTTTCTGGAGCTCTGTCCAATTGCTTCCAGTGATTGTATACAGGATATGCTGATGGAGACTCAGGTTTTCTTTTTCAAGGACTTTCCAATTTATTACTTGTCTGGCTATCTTTTGGGTGCTAAATGTTATGTCAATGTATGACTCACTGCTTCCCCTGATAAAGGTTGGAACATTGCCTCTATTGTGTACAATGAGGTTCTCTTCAGCCAACCATTCTGATAGTAATTCCCCTCTCCTATCTTCTGGTTTAGGGCTCCACAGAAAGGATTTCGCGTTAAAGTCTCCTCCAATGACCATCTCTTTCTTTTGTTTTTTCATATCTTCCCTGAGTTTATGCAGAAAGTTCTCAAACGTGACAATGTCTACGTTTGGTGATATGTAGCAGCTATAGATTATAATATGTGGTGTCTCCACCCATACGAAACCAACCCCTGCACCATGTTGCAGGATCTTGATCTGGCCTCCTGGGACATAAATCGCTGCGTCCATATTTTGGTCGTGAATCCATTTCCCACCTTTCAATTTCTTCCGGTTTGGCTCTGCTACCAGGACAATATCCGTCCCACGTTCTTCGGCCATCTTATATAACATATCCACCGCCTTTGAGCCTCTATCAACATTTCCTTGCATAATCTTGATGTCCTCGTGTTGGCCCTGGTAATGTTCCCTCCTACTCCTGTCTGTTGTCACTGGTTGTGTTAGATGTTGCATCATTTTTGTTAGTTTTGTCTTTTCTGTTTTCTGTCTTTGATATTTTAGCTTCTATTTACGTACGTAATAACTCGGTATTCGCCTTGTTGCTTTTCATGATTAATAGAACTTCACCATTTTTGTCTCTTTTACTTGCTTTATATCTATATTTAGTTCCTTAGGGCTAATTTTGGTCTTCATTTTCCTCAGTAGCTCAGCATATGTTTTATTCCCTGCCTTAACAATTAGTTAATTGGTTAATTTTTTTTGTAGTGTTAATCGCGTTCCTGTTGATTTCTTGTTTCGGCACGTGCAGGCTTATCCCTATCTTTGTGTCGATGAATGCCATTTCGAGCAGCTTTCTGACCATTTCAGTTTCATACCTGTCGGGTATTGGCATCTGTATATTATTCGTTCCCAATTTGATTGCTGTCTCTCTAAGGCCTACCAGAATCTTGTACAATTCCTCATTTTTTCTTTCATCGCTCACAGGTCCCAGTGGACAGAGCCTGAATACGGTACGTTCGCTTGTTGCCATTCTCCCAATTTTTACTGAGGTAGTGAGGTAAGCTACTTCAGTAGTCTCTTTTGGATCTCCCAACAACGTGAGTTCGGGATATCTCTCCTTAAAAATCCTACTGATACCTTTAGTCATTTCAGGGTCTTCGGAGTATATCGCCAGGTCACCTCCAGAACTTTTTGAAAGGGGGTTTCCCACTTCGATTTTTACATTTTTTTATGCCGCCTCGGGCCAGGTCTTCTTTACTGCTCTCAAAAGATCATCTAAGGATTCTATTGCCCTCAGAGACTCCCTTATGAGTTCTGCTTCTTTCTCCTCTGTCAATACTTTCATGTATACAGTTTGCGTTTCTGTGTCTGCCATATTATGTTCATTGCTTGTTTGTGTTGCTGCCGAGTTCTTCTCTGTTTCACTACTCTTACTACTTCCGCCTTTTCCCAGCCACATCTGTATTTCTCTGCCTTTTAACCTGCTAGCTATGCTGCTTAACCTTACTACCGAATCTTTGATCTCCTTTTTAGTATTTATATTTGTCTGGATGGATACATCCATATCTTCGATAAATTTTTTGATTGCGAGTCCCTCCTTATTTTCTGTCTCTTCCTGTTTTGGCGAGGTTTCCTCTCTAGGCCTTTTGGCTGGATTTTCCGTGTTCTTGGTATTGGCCCGCGTTGGGGATCTTCCTATCAGACTTCTTTTTGCAAAATGATCCTTCACACCGGACCAGCTATAGCTTCTCTCCCGTGTCTTTAACCCAGTAGCATCAAAACTCAAGAGAGCCTGAGTTCCACCCTCGGAGTCGCGGTCGCATTCTGTCACACTAGACTGGCCCGCTTTACAACCAACCTGGGCGCGCACTGGGGTTTCCGAGTCCCCCTGCACCGTAATCGAATTTATATTATGTTGTTCCGTCATGAATTTTATTCAAGGTTTTCCATGTCCATCGTCAGGTCGTCATAAGGTTTTTTAATTTAGCGTGAAAAGAAAGACCCCTAGCCCTCGTTGCCTAATAGCGTCAGGGACGGAAAAAAACAAGAGTTGGTCAAGAGAGACCGATAGGAAAGGCAGAAGAGGAAGGGACCCCACCCAAGAATAGTAGAAGGAAGTGAAGCAAAGAGGGATCCAGCTAGGGCACCTCGGGATTGCCACACCCTTACTCACAAATTGTGAGCCCCTGAGGAAATTATTATTATTATTATTATTATTATTATTATTATTATTACTATTATTATTATTTGCCTCAGCTGAAGCTGAAACTTTCACCTGCCCAATAACTGGTGTTTTCTACATGTTTGGGGTAGGCTCGGGCTGGTGGAGAGAAATTTCATTCTTTTCTACTAGATACTTTTTTTTTCTTTTCATAGTTCTGCCCCATTCCCCGTTCCCATGCATGTCTGAAGAATTACGCATTTTTGCATGATTTCGTACAATCGTGTTGGTAAGTTTAGTATATCGATATTTTTCTTTAGGTGCATCGTAAAGACTTCGTTTGCTGAAATTATTATGGGGACTATCTCTACTTTTTTGAGTTTCCAGACATTTTTGACCTCTCTTGCCAGGTTCTCATACTTCGTAATTTTTTCGACTTCCGTTTTAGAAACGTTCTCACCAAGTAAACATCTATAATAAATGCATGTTCGTTTTATTTGTCAATGGCCACAATGTCAGGTCGGTTGAATTCTACAGTTCCATCGGTGGTTATCAGCCGGTCCCAATAGAGTAGATGGGTGTTGGTTTCCAGTACAGGTTCTGGTGAGTATTGATAATAGGGCGGGGGGTTATATAGGAGGCCATATTTTTTTCCTAGTTCTATGTAGACCATTTTTGCAACTTGGTTGTGGCGGCCCAGGTATGCCGTGTTAGATAGCGCTGGGCAGTCCGCCGTGATATGTTCAATTGTTTTTCAAGGCTTACCATACTTCACCATACTTACCATATGTCCACCACGTTTTACTTTAGACAGATTTTTTCATACGATTTGGTTTTTATCACACGATCTTGGATAGCCACTAAAATGCTTCGGTTTCTTTATGGAGTTGGCCTTTTTTCAACCAAGCGAGTGAGACCTCTTTGTCTATGTGCTCACCCTGTAGAGTCTTCGGGTGTTTAATATGCAATGATTTCTCTTGCAATGATTCACTCCTACTCACCCCTGGTTGCCTTAGAGTTTCTGTATGGTGTCTTAGATTTAGAGCGGAGTATCCTTCATCGACAGCGACAATTGCTTTAAGAAATTAAGAGTTTGATTCCTGGAAGTAGATTCTCATTTTTTCTTCTTGGTCCCGGGATAGCTTATAGACGTCGATGAGGCCTCGTCCACCTTCTTTTCTGCTTAAATAGATTCTCTCGACAGCTGCTCGGGGATGGTAAGCTCTAAACTTAGTGAAGATCTTTAGAGTCGATCTGTCTAGCTCATGGAGGTTGGTATCTGTGTATTTAAGGATTCCAAAGGAGTATGTAAGAACCGGTATTGCCCATGTATTTTCAGCGGTCGTCAGGTTCCCCGAGTTTAAAAATGTGTTAAGCAGTTTGCTTAATGGCTTTCTATATTTTTCTTTAAACTCGTTTCTAAGGGCAGTGTGATGGATTGACCGATATTATTATGTAGATGTAGATAGTATACAGTATATCAATTAGGCTCAAATCACATGATAGAGCCTTAAGACTACTACAAATAAACTCATCAGTAGTTGCCGAGCAGAATCACCTAACCAGACATCAAATTTTATTGAATAAAACTAAAATTCTTGCATGTACCAACGAAAAATCCTAGAATCTATAGAAATCTAGAAGCAACCAAAAAATCTTAAGCGTGACTCAGGAAAATACCTCGATGATCTGATATAGCCTTTTTTGCGAACGAATATTGAACTAGAGAATGGTTAATGCAAATATCGACATTGACGTTCTTCAGAACTGGGGTGTAACGCCTGACGAAAAACTATCGAAATATTTCACACAGTTTGCAAGGTTAACCTTGGGTGGTCTATAAACTACAAAACAAGAAGCTCCATACTGTATTAAGTTCAAGCTTCAATTCATTGAATGGTATTTTTTGTATTCCTTTTGCCATTATTTGCGCTCCCTTGCTTCATAAATGTTCCGTTAAGGCGCCATCTTTTTCGTTAGTCTTTCGGTGGTTTCGAATCGAATGCCCAACAAACGAGGGCAATAACGTCGAGCTACAGATTTAGCGTCGGACTTAAATTGCCCGTAAAATCAATAAATTCACCTGAAGAAAGCATTAATCATTGTCCAGAAACAGCGGCAGCGCCGACCCACGTAGGTAACACTTGTCCCCTTCGGAGACGCTTCACTTTGTGGGATTTTGCAAAGGGGACACTCGTTGCCGTATTTCATAGACACTCGACAGGCCACTTAAGCAGTTCTCGATGACCGTTGCAACCAAAATGGATGCTTAAACGCAACAGTAACTAGATTTCACAGACTGTCGGCTATAATTTTTAATATTTTGTAGACGAAACAAAATATTTTCTATACTAGCCAAAATATTTTTTATTATACAGTGTATTTCAAATCGAATGGACCATAGAATACCAGCATATTCTTTGGGTCAAAATATTTCGATTTCTCAAATAGACCGTGTTTTACGTTCGCAATTTTAAAAATACAATCACAAGAATGATGAGACATTAGACATAACTTGTAGATGGCACCATCTGCACATACTTATTTGCAAAAATACCATCATATTGTTTTTGCATATTCTCAAATTTAATTTCTGAAATCAGAAGGCCCTTTTCTGGTATTTTCTAAATAAAAATTTTTTTTGTTAAAGAAAATTGAGACACTGGGCACATTTTATGAAAACTCAATAATTGTTAGAAAAAAGAAAAACTTAAAGTAGATGTTTATTTGCCAAAATGAGTTTTCTTTTCGGAACTGACTAACAGCCTCATCAACCTTCATGACTGTTTATAAAATCTTTGTAAATCACTAATTTAATATAGCACCAAAAACTAAAATTCATTCAAGAAGCGGATTTCTTCTGTCAATCCATTCATGGGGAAAGTTTAAATTATGGTAATTTCTTCGAATTAGCGCAAAGTGACGTGGTACTAAGTCATTCACAAATCTATGAGGTCGTGTTGAAAAAAATGTAAAAACGTCGTTGCATCAAACTTTGAAGGAAATTCAATTGGTCCAAGTACTCAATCTCCTCCAAGTACATTATTTCCTAAGCCTGCCCAGACCTTTATCCCGTATTCTTGCTGAAAATATCTGTCCTATATCAAATGAGGATTTTCTAATTGCCACCAGTGTCTGGCTGTTAATAAAAAATGCCTCTACGTTTAGCTTAGTCAGTAAATAATATTTTGTTAACAAAACTAAGATCTTCATTTTGTTGGTTTCGAACAAAGGTAAAAAGATTTACTCTTGCATATCAGAAGGCAGCAAACTTTGTCATTTTATTGTACTAAATATTGACGCAGAATTTGTTTGTGGGTCATCAGCGACACGGATTAGGATTTCTTCTTCCTGA